CCATGTATCGTGAGATTTTGTGTGAAAACCTCCTTCCATCAGCAGGGGCATTGAAGATGAAATGTGGCTGGGTCTTTCAGCATGACAATGATCCCAAACACACCGCCCGGGCAACGAAGTAGTGGCTTCGTAAGAAGCATTTCAAGGTCCTGGAGTGGCCTAGCCAGTCTCCAGATCTCAACCCCATAGAAAATCTTTGGAGGGAGTTGAAAATCCGTGTTGCCCAGCGACAGCCCCAAAACATTACTGCTCTAGAGGAGATCTGCATGGAGGAATGGGCCAAAATACCAGCAACAGTGTGTGAAAACCTTGTGAAGACTTACAGAAAACGTTTGACCTCTGTCATTGCCAACAAAGGGTATATAACAAAGTATTGAGATGAAATTTTGTTATTGACCAAATACTTATTTTCCACCATAATTTGCAAATAAATTCTTTAAAAATCCTACAATCTGATTTTCTGGATTTTTTTTCTCATTTTGTCTCTCATAGTTGAGGTATACCTATGATGAAAATTACAGGCCTCTCTCATCTTTTTAAGTGGGAGAACTTGCACAATTGGTGGCTGACTAAATACTTTTTTTCCCCACTGTATTTGGTATTGTGTAATAGTTACTATGTTTTACTGCGTTTCATTATGTATTGTGTAATTTCTCATTTTATTTATTTATAAGATGGCTGACGAGCAGGACACAAGGGAAGTGCTTTTCCCACAGTGGATGGGCACTGATACGCTTGGGCTCACCATAGAACAAAAAGGTCAAGGAGAGATTTTTGTCAAAGAGGTGAAAGATGAGTCCCCTGCTGCTCATACTGGGAAAGTATATGAAGGTATGAAGTAAAAAAAAACCTGCCAGTTGTAATGTGCAAACATTTGGAAAACCTAATTTTAACATTAACATTTACCAAACATTTCTCGAATGTTTTGAATCTCTGAACAACATTTGTCACTCCCCTTTTTGGTGGTGTTTTTTTTTTTTAAATGAACTAATGCTCTTGTAGGTCTTCCAAATATAATTTATCTATTGTAATTAATTTAGTTTGAACTTACCATGTACTGTTGATTTCTCACAGGTGACCAAATTGTGGGGGCCACCATTTACTTTGACAACATGAGCTCAGAAGAAACGGCTGATCTATTAAAGACTCTAAACCGACATAAGGTTGGACTAAAATTACAAAATAAGTCTGCAGACAAGTCACCTTGCCGTTCTCCTATGGGGACATTGTCATGGGAAGGACGTGGAGGGTTAGGAGGCTCTAGTTCAGACATTCTTCTGGTAAGGTGGCTTCGTAAATTGTAGATTTTAGTATGATCAGTACTCCAGTATTTAACAAATTAAATTTAACTGAAATGTTTTACACATTTCTCTCTTACATACATTTCACACAGAAATGGCATGTAGTAGTAATTTGTAATTTTCCATTTCCTGTAGAGTGGGGATGACGAAGACTACAAGAGAATCTACACTAAGAAGATTAAACCTAGACTAAAGTCAGAGGATCTTGCTGAGGGTGTTGATGTGCGCACAGAACGTCACAGCAGCACAAGCAGTGATGGTTGCACCATTACTACAATCACTCGTCGAATAACTACCTACACTGTGGACGTGCCTGGGGGGACTAGTCAGCAGATTGATCACTCAAGCCCCGAGTACAAAATTCAGGTCTTGCAGCATGAGCAGTCAGAGGGGGATTCTACTCAAATCAGATTACCACATAGTAGCCTAGTTAGTGGTGCACACGGAGGTATAAAAATGGGGGACATAACTCTTAGCGGGCCCCATGTCACTGGCTCCACTGTGAAGCACTCTAGCACAGGATCTTTAAAAGCAACAAGTGAATTAGATGGTAGTGGGAAAGAGATTACAATAAATGTGTCAGACACTGGACTGTCAGGTCGTAAAGGACAGATGGTGATGGAACATTTTGGAAGGACTGAAGCTTCTGCAGGCAGTAGTGATCTCTCTGGCAAAGTAACCATGGGGTTAGACAAAGACGTGAGAAATATTTCTTCTCCATTGGATGCTGGTTTTAAAGCTTCAAGTATGATGGGAGGAACTGAGGTTGCTACAGTAAAGGGCCCTGTTCTGAACACTCGTGTTTCAGGTTTTTCCATTAGTGGAGATACAGGGGGCAGTATTGGCAGGGAATCTTTGTCTGAAGTGCATAAGGATGGGTCTGCTGATAAAACCAAATTGTCTAAATTTACCATAGATGTGCAAAGGCCCAAGGAAGGTCAAAATGTAGAAGAGAATTTTAACAATCAAAATCTTAAAGATGTTAGTCAGAGAGGTTTCAGCATAACTGGGAATCAGGAAATGACAGCTCGGGTTCAGGAACCTGATACAGTAGTAAGTCTCCCCAAAGCTGATGTAAAAATTACACCACCAGATATGGACATCAGGGGTCCAGAGCTTCACTTTAAAGGACATGAGCGTACTGTCAAAGATGTTAAATTTGATGCACCATCAGTCACTGGTCAAATTTCTATGCCAGATGTGGATTTAAACCTCAAAGGACAAAAAGTGAAAGGAGATGTTAACGTGTCTGTTCCGAATGTTGAAGGGAATGTTACAACTTCAAAAATTGAAATTAAAAGGCCAGATCTCGAGGATGTGAAAAGTGGCTTTACGGTTCCAAAGGTCAAAATGTCCTCATTAGGAATAAAAACTTCAGAAGTAAGGGCTCCTGATGTTGATGTAAATCTTGTGAAAGCCAAAATGGAGATTAAAGCACCAGATGTGGATATCAAGACTCCAGAGCTTAATGTTGAGAGATCTGAAGTAAAAGTCAAAGATTCTGAAATCAAGATACCAACAGTCTCCGGTCCTAATATTGCGGTGTCTGATGGGAACTTAAATGTAAAAGGGTCAACATTGAAAGGTGACTTAAATTTGAAAGGCCCAAATCTAAAAGGTCATGTTGATGTGTCTGTTCCAAAAATGGAAGGAGACATTAAAGCACCAAAAGTTGAAATTGAAGGCCCTGACCTTGAGGAACCTGAGGGTGGCTTTAAGATGCCAAAGATCAAAATGCCATCATTCGGACTGAAAGGTCCAAAAGTGGAGGGTCCAGATATTGATGTGAAAATTCCCAAAGCCGATATCGAGGTAAAGGCACGAGGTGTGGACATCAAAGCTGCAGAGGTTGACATTGCAGGACCTGAGGGAAAAATCAAGGGCCCCAAATTCACAATGCCATCAGTCTCTGGTCCAAAGGTTTCTATGCCAGACGTTGACTTAAACCTGAAAGGTCCAAAACTGAAAGGTGACATTGACGTGTCCGTTCCAAAAGTGGAAGGAGGCATTAAAGCACCAAAAGTGGAAATTGAAGGCCAAGAAATGGAAGGGAAAAGTGGCTTTACGGTTCCAAAGGTCAAAATGTCCTCATTAGGAATAAAAACTTCAGAAGTAAGGGCTCCTGATGTTGATGTAAATCTTGTGAAAGCCAAAATGGAGATTAAAGCACCAGATGTGGATATCAAGACTCCAGAGCTTAATGTTGAGAGATCTGAAGTAAAAGTCAAAGATTCTGAAATCAAGATACCAACAGTCTCCGGTCCTAATATTGCGGTGTCTGATGGGAACTTAAATGTAAAAGGGTCAACATTGAAAGGTGACTTAAATTTGAAAGGCCCAAATCTAAAAGGTCATGTTGATGTGTCTGTTCCAAAAATGGAAGGAGACATTAAAGCACCAAAAGTTGAAATTGAAGGCCCTGACCTTGAGGAACCTGAGGGTGGCTTTAAGATGCCAAAGATCAAAATGCCATCATTCGGACTGAAAGGTCCAAAAGTGGAGGGTCCAGATATTGATGTGAAAATTCCCAAAGCCGATATCGAGGTAAAGGCACGAGGTGTGGACATCAAAGCTGCAGAGGTTGACATTGCAGGACCTGAGGGAAAAATCAAGGGCCCCAAATTCACAATGCCATCAGTCTCTGGTCCAAAGGTTTCTATGCCAGACGTTGACTTAAACCTGAAAGGTCCAAAACTGAAAGGTGACATTGACGTGTCCGTTCCAAAAGTGGAAGGAGGCATTAAAGCACCAAAAGTGGAAATTGAAGGCCAAGAAATGGAAGGACCTGAGGGTGGCTTTAAGATGCCAAAGATCAAAATGCCATCATTCGGACTGAAAGGTCCAAAAGTGGAGGGTCCAGATATTGATGAGAAAATCCCCAAAGCCGATATCGAGGTAAAGGCACGAGGTGTGGATATCAAAGCTGCAGAGGTTGACATTGCAGGACCTGAGGGAAAAATCAAGGGCCCAAAATTCACAATGCCATCAATCTCTGGTCCAAAGATTTCTATGCCAGACGTTGACTTCAATCTGAAAGGTCCAAAACTGAAAGGTGATGTTGACATGTCCGTTCCAAAAGTGGAAGGAGATATTAAAGCACCAAAAGTGAAAACTGAAGGCCCAGAAATGGAAGGACCTGAGGGTGGTTTTAAGATGCCAAAGATCAAAATGCCATCATTCGGACTGAAAGGTCCAAAAGTGGAGGGTCCAGATATTGATGAGAAAATCCCCAAAGCCGATATCGAGGTAAAGGCACGAGGTGTGGATATCAAAGCTGCAGAGGTTGACATTGCAGGACCTGAGGAAAAAATCAAGGGCCCCAAATTCACAATGCCATCAATCTCTGGTCCAAAGATTTCTATGCCAGACGTTGACTTCAATCTGAAAGGTCCAAAACTGAAAGATGACATTGACATATCCGTTCCAAAAGTGGAAGGAGATATTAAAGCACCAAAAGTGAAAACTGAAGGCCCAGAAATGGAAGGACCTGAGGGTGGTTTTAAGATGCCAAAGATCAAAATGCCATCATTCGGAATGAAGGGTCCAAAACTGGAGGGTCCAGATGTTGATGTGAAAATCCCTAAAGCCGATATTGACATTAAGGCACCAGATGTGGACATCAAAGCTCCAGAGTTTGTCATTGAAGTACCTGAGGGAAATCTCAAGGGCCCCAAATTCAAGATGCCATCAATCTCTGGTCCAAAGATTTCTATGCCAGACGTTGACTTCAATCTGAAAGGTCCAAAACTGAAAGATGACATTGACATATCCGTTCCAAAAGTGGAAGGAGATATTAAAGCACCAAAAGTGAAAACTGAAGGCCCAGAAATGGAAGGACCTGAGGGTGGTTTTAAGATGCCAAAGATCAAAATGCCATCATTCGGAATGAAGGGTCCAAAACTGGAGGGTCCAGATGTTGATGTGAAAATCCCTAAAGCCGATATTGACATTAAGGCACCAGATGTGGACATCAAAGCTCCAGAGTTTGTCATTGAAGTACCTGAGGGAAATCTCAAGGGCCCCAAATTCAAGATGCCATCAATCTCTGGTCCAAAGATTTCTATGCCAGACGTTGACTTCAATCTGAAAGGTCCAAAACTGAAAGATGACATTGACATATCCGTTCCAAAAGTGGAAGGAGATATTAAAGCACCAAAAGTGAAAACTGAAGGCCCAGAAATGGAAGGACCTGAGGGTGGTTTTAAGATGCCAAAGATCAAAATGCCATCATTCGGAATGAAGGGTCCAAAACTGGAGGGTCCAGATGTTGATGTGAAAATCCCTAAAGCCGATATTGACATTAAGGCACCAGATGTGGACATCAAAGCTCCAGAGTTTGTCATTGAAGTACCTGAGGGAAATCTCAAGGGCCCCAAATTCAAGATGCCATCAATCTCTGGTCCAAAGATTTCTATGCCAGACGTTGACTTCAATCTGAAAGGTCCAAAACTGAAAGATGACATTGACATATCCGTTCCAAAAGTGGAAGGAGATATTAAAGCACCAAAAGTGAAAACTGAAGGCCCAGAAATGGAAGGACCTGAGGGTGGTTTTAAGATGCCAAAGATCAAAATGCCATCATTCGGAATGAAGGGTCCAAAACTGGAGGGTCCAGATGTTGATGTGAAAATCCCTAAAGCCGATATTGACATTAAGGCACCAGATGTGGACATCAAAGCTCCAGAGTTTGTCATTGAAGTACCTGAGGGAAATCTCAAGGGCCCCAAATTCAAGATGCCATCAATCTCTGGTCCAAAGATTTCTATGCCAGACGTTGACTTCAATCTGAAAGGTCCAAAACTGAAAGATGACATTGACATATCCGTTCCAAAAGTGGAAGGAGATATTAAAGCACCAAAAGTGAAAACTGAAGGCCCAGAAATGGAAGGACCTGAGGGTGGTTTTAAGATGCCAAAGATCAAAATGCCATCATTCGGAATGAAGGGTCCAAAACTGGAGGGTCCAGATGTTGATGTGAAAATCCCTAAAGCCGATATTGACATTAAGGCACCAGATGTGGACATCAAAGCTCCAGAGTTTGTCATTGAAGTACCTGAGGGAAATCTCAAGGGCCCCAAATTCAAGATGCCATCAATCTCTGGTCCAAAGATTTCTATGCCAGACGTTGACTTCAATCTGAAAGGTCCAAAACTGAAAGATGACATTGACATATCCGTTCCAAAAGTGGAAGGAGATATTAAAGCACCAAAAGTGAAAACTGAAGGCCCAGAAATGGAAGGACCTGAGGGTGGTTTTAAGATGCCAAAGATCAAAATGCCATCATTCGGAATGAAGGGTCCAAAACTGGAGGGTCCAGATGTTGATGTGAAAATCCCTAAAGCCGATATTGACATTAAGGCACCAGATGTGGACATCAAAGCTCCAGAGTTTGTCATTGAAGTACCTGAGGGAAATCTCAAGGGCCCCAAATTCAAGATGCCATCAATCTCTGGTCCAAAGATTTCTATGCCAGACGTTGACTTCAATCTGAAAGGTCCAAAACTGAAAGATGACATTGACATATCCGTTCCAAAAGTGGAAGGAGATATTAAAGCACCAAAAGTGAAAACTGAAGGCCCAGAAATGGAAGGACCTGAGGGTGGTTTTAAGATGCCAAAGATCAAAATGCCATCATTCGGAATGAAGGGTCCAAAACTGGAGGGTCCAGATGTTGATGTGAAAATCCCTAAAGCCGATATTGACATTAAGGCACCAGATGTGGACATCAAAGCTCCAGAGTTTGTCATTGAAGTACCTGAGGGAAATCTCAAGGGCCCCAAATTCAAGATGCCATCAATCTCTGGTCCAAAGATTTCTATGCCAGACGTTGACTTCAATCTGAAAGGTCCAAAACTGAAAGATGACATTGACATATCCGTTCCAAAAGTGGAAGGAGATATTAAAGCACCAAAAGTGAAAACTGAAGGCCCAGAAATGGAAGGACCTGAGGGTGGTTTTAAGATGCCAAAGATCAAAATGCCATCATTCGGAATGAAGGGTCCAAAACTGGAGGGTCCAGATGTTGATGTGAAAATCCCTAAAGCCGATATTGACATTAAGGCACCAGATGTGGACATCAAAGCTCCAGAGTTTGTCATTGAAGTACCTGAGGGAAATCTCAAGGGCCCCAAATTCAAGATGCCATCAATCTCTGGTCCAAAGATTTCTATGCCAGACGTTGACTTCAATCTGAAAGGTCCAAAACTGAAAGATGACATTGACATATCCGTTCCAAAAGTGGAAGGAGATATTAAAGCACCAAAAGTGAAAACTGAAGGCCCAGAAATGGAAGGACCTGAGGGTGGTTTTAAGATGCCAAAGATCAAAATGCCATCATTCGGAATGAAGGGTCCAAAACTGGAGGGTCCAGATGTTGATGTGAAAATCCCTAAAGCCGATATTGACATTAAGGCACCAGATGTGGACATCAAAGCTCCAGAGTTTGTCATTGAAGTACCTGAGGGAAATCTCAAGGGCCCCAAATTCAAGATGCCATCAATCTCTGGTCCAAAGATTTCTATGCCAGACGTTGACTTCAATCTGAAAGGTCCAAAACTGAAAGGTGACGTTGACGTATCCGTTCCAAAAGTGGAAGGAGATATTAAAGCACCAAAATTGGAAATTGAATGCCCAGAAATGGAAGGACCTGAGGGTGGTTTTAAGATGCCAAAGATCAAAATGCCATCATTCGGAATAAAGGGTTCAAAACTGGAGGGTCCAGATGTTGATGTGAAAATCCCTAAAGCCGATATTGACATTAAGGCACCAGATATGGACATCAAAGCTCCAGAGTTTGACATTGAAGGACCTGAGGGAAAAATCAAGGGCCCCAAATTCAAGATGCCATCAATCTCTGGTCCAAAGATTTCTATGCCAGACGTTGACTTCAATCTTAAAGGTGCAAACCTGACAGGTGATGTTGACGTATCCGTTCCAAAAGTGGAAGGAGATATTAAAGCACCAAAAGTGAAAATTGAAAGCCCAGAAATGGAAGGACCTGAGGGCGGTTTTAAGATGCCAAAGATCAAAATGCCATCATTCGGAATGAAGGGTCCAAAACTGGAGGGTCCAGATGTTGATGTGAAATTTCCTAAAGCTGATATTGACATTAAGGCACCAGATGTGGACATCAAAGCTCCAGAGTTTGACATTGAAGGACCTGAGGGAAAAATCAAGGGCCCCAAATTCAAGATGCCGTCAATCTCTGGTCCAAAGATTTCTATGCCAGATTTTGACCTCAACCTGAAAGGTCCAAAACTGAAAGGTGATGTTGATGTTTCAATTTCAAATGCTGAAGGAGACATCAAAACACCAGATTTGGGTATCAAGGGGCCCGAACTTGATATGAAATTACCAGAAGGAAAAATCAAAGGCCCAAAAGTCAGGATGCCATCAGTATCTGGTCCTGAAGGTCCAAATGTTGAGGTCAATTTTCCAGAAACGAATGTCAAGAAGCCTAAATTTAAAATGCCCAAGTTTGGATTTAAAGGGCCAAAGATTGAAGCACCTGATGTTGATGTCAAACTTCCGAAAGGATCTAAAGTGAAAGGTCAAGCTGGTGTCAGTTTGGAAGGTGATGTAAATATGCCAAAAGTGGAAGTTGATTCTCCAAGAGTAGAAGTTAAAAGTCCAGAGGGAGGATTCAAGATGCCAAAATTTAAAATGCCAAAGTTCGGTTTTAAGTCACCCAAAGGAGAAATTGATGTCAGCGTACCTAGTGGTGACATTGGTTTAAAATCATCTGATATTGACATCAAAACTCCTGATCTTGATGTTGAGGGACCTGAGGGACAAATCAAGGGCACCAAATTCAAAATGCCTTCTATATCTGGTCCAAAGATTTCTATGCCAGATGTAGACTTCAACTTGAAAAGTCCAAAAGTCAAGGGTGATATTGATGTTTCTGGACCCAAGATTGCAGGTGACATAAAGGCACCAAAAGTTGACATTGAAGGTCCTGATGTCGATATAGAGGGCCTGGAAGGTGGCTTCAAGATACCTAAAATCAAAATGCCATCCTTTGGGCTCAGAGGTCCTAAATTGGAGGGCCCAGATGTTGACATCAATCTCCCCAAAGCAGATTTTGACATTAAAGGACCTGAAATTGACATCAAAACTCCTGATCTAGACATCGAGGGACCTGAAGGGAAAATCAAAGGTCCCAAGTTCAAAATGCCTTCTATATCAAGTCCAAAGATCTCTATGCCAGATGTCAACTTAAATGTTAAAGGCCCTAAAGTCAAGGGCGATATAGATGTTTCTGTACCAAAGATTGCAGGTGACATAAAGGCACCAAAAGTTGACATTGAAGGTCCTGATGTCGATATAGAGGGCCTGGAAGGTGGCTTCAAGATACCTAAAATCAAAATGCCATCCTTTGGGCTCAGAGGTCCTAAATTGGAGGGCCCAGATGTTGACATCAATCTCCCCAAAGCAGATTTTGACATTAAAGGACCTGAAATTGACATCAAAACTCCTGATCTAGACATCGAGGGACCTGAAGGGAAAATCAAAGGTCCCAAGTTCAAAATGCCTTCTATATCAAGTCCAAAGATCTCTATGCCAGATGTCAACTTAAATGTTAAAGGCCCTAAAGTCAAGGGCGATATAGATGTTTCTGTACCAAAGATTGCAGGGGACATGAAAGCTCCAAAAGTGGCCATTGAAGGTCCTGATGTTGATTTTGACGGCCCAGAAGGTGGCTTCAAGATGCCTAAAATCAAAATGCCATCATTTGGACTCAAAGGTCCTAAAGTGGAGGGCCCAGATGTTGATATCAATCTCCCCAAAGCAGATGTTGACATTAAAGGACCAGAAATTGACATCAAAACTCCTGATCTTGACATTGAAGGACCTGAGGGGAAAATCAAAGGTCCCAAGTTTAAAATGCCTTCCATATCGGGTCCAAAAATCTCTATGCCAGATATAGACTTCAACTTGAAAAGTCCAAAAGTCAAGGGTGATATGGATGTTTCTGTACCAAAGATTTCAGGGGACATGAAAGCTCCAAAAGTGGCCATTGAAGGTCCTGATGTTGATTTTGACGGCCCAGAAGGTGGCTTCAAGATGCCTAAAATCAAAATGCCATCATTTGGATTCAAAGGTCCTAAACTGGAGGGCCCAGATGTTGACATCAATCTCCCCAAAGCAGATGTTGACATTAAAGGACCAGAAATTGACATCAAAACTCCTGATCTTGACATTGAAGGACCTGAGGGGAAAATCAAAGGTCCCAAGTTTAAAATGCCTTCCATATCGGGTCCAAAAATCTCTATGCCAGATATCAACTTAAAAGGCCCCAAAGTCAAAGGTGATATGGATGTTTCTGTACCAAAGATTTCAGGGGAAATAAAAGCTCCAAAAGTGGACATTGAAAGTCCTGATCTTGACATTGAAGGACCTGAGGGGAAAATCAAAGGTCCTAAGTTCAAAATGCCTTCCATATCAGGTCCAAAGATCTCTATGCCAGATGTCAACTTAAAAGGCCCCAAAGTCAAGGGTGATATGGATGTTTCTGTTCCAAAGATTTCAGGTGGCATAAAGGCACCACAAGTGGACATTGAAGGTCCTGATGTTGATATCGAGGGCCCAGAAGGTGGCTTCAAGATGCCTAAAATCAAAATGCCATCATTTGGACTCAGAAGTCCTAAATTGGAGGGCCCAGATGTTGACATCAATCTCCCCAAAGCAGATGTTGACATTAAAGGACCTGGAATTGACATTACAGCTCCTGATCTTGACATTGAAGGACCTGAAGGAAAAATTAAAGGTCCCAAGTTCAAAATGCCTTCCATGTCAGGTCCAAAGATCTCTATGCCAGATGTCAACTTAAAAGGCCCCAAAGTCAAGGGTGATATGGATGTTTCTGTTCCAAAGATTTCAGGTGGCATAAATGCACCAAAAGTTGACATTGAAGGTCCTGATGTTGATATCGAGGGCCCAGAAGGTGGCATCAAGATGCCTAAAATCAAAATGCCATCATTTGGTCTCAAAGGTCCTAAAGTGGAGGGCCCAGATGTTGACGTCAATCTCCCCAAAGCAGATGTTGACATTAAAGGACCAGAAATTGATATTAAAGCTCCTGATCTTGACATTGAAGGACCTGAGGGTGGTTTAAAACATGTTAAGTTCCCAAAATTCAAAGGTCCCAATTTTGGAATAAAGCCTTCAGGTGGCAGTCTTTCAATACCTGAAAAAGATATAGGGGCGAGTATTGATGTCAAAAGCCCTGATGTCAATATCAGTGGACCAGATGCAAATGTCAAGGTGCCAAAAATGAAAAAATTTTCGCTTGGAGTTAAGAGCTCAAAATTAGATGCAGATATTCCTGATGCTGGTGGTAGTGTAGAAGAACCTGATATGAACATAGATGTGAAAGGAAAGAAAGGTAAATTCAAACTGGCCAAAGGGAAGGGGAAGTCTAAAACATTTGATGGTGATATGAAGACTGAAACTGTCAAGTTGGAGACAAATGAACCTGACCTACAGATGAAGTCAACCAAAGTAAAGAAACCTCTTTTTGGAAAGTTACGTTTTCCTGATGTGGAATTTGACATCAAATCTTCAAAAGCTAAAGGTAGTCCATCTGCCTCTGGAACTATAAAATCATCTGCTGATTTGCCTTCTGCAAGCCTTAAAACTGATATTCAGACACCAGATGCTAGTTTGGATAGTCCTGATTTCAAAACAAAAGGAGGAAAAATCAAAATACCAAAAGCCGGCATCTCTGGCTCTGTAATAAAAACTCCTGAACTAGTTGTTAGAGATGCAACTTTAGAGGTTCCAGAAAAGACCTTTCAGTCCTCAGATGTCAGTGTAGCAGGATCAGGCATTAATGGAAAAGACAAGGCTAAAATTGACATAGGAGGAAAAATACAGGATGTTAAGTTGACAGTGCCTACTGTAAATGTCCATGGTGGTGCTTTAGATGCTGATTTAAATCTCACTGAACAAAAAGGAGTAAAAGGGAGCATTGAAATACCAGGCTTTAATGTAAGAGGACAAAAGGGAGAGACTGCAAGTGGGTTAGACATGAAGCCAGATGCATCATTATCTGGTGTGATGGAGTACCAAGAAGGTAATGTAACCTTTCCTAAAATCAAAGTACCAAAGTTTGGTGTTGCATTGCCTAAAGTAGATGGAGGCGAGATGAGAGTAGATGTAGGTTCAGGTGAATTGGCTGCTGGTTCTAAAGTTACTTCCCAAAGTCTGGAAATTGAGAACACTGATATGAAAAGCAGTGGTGGAAAAGTGAAAGTCAAAATGCCAAAATTATTTGTCAAATCTAAATCTAAAGGTGGCAGTGCAGCTGATCTTACTGTTGAGGGAGAAGGTGTTGATGTTACAAGTAAAGGTGGTGCAAAGGTGTCTAAGGAGTTGAGCCTTAGTTCTGGGGAATTGACAAGTGGCAAGTTGACAGTAGAGGGAAGCTCTGGGTTTAAAGTTTCACCAAAGAGTAAATCTGCCTCCCTTGACCTCTTCAAAAAAACACAACATCACTCATCCTCTGTAAGTGATGTGGGAGGTTTAGCTTCCCCTGTTTCTGCTGAAGGCCACTTACAGGCAGAGGGTGGCGACATTTCAGTTGATGTTGGAGAAAAGGCCAAAGGCAAAAAAGGAAAGTTGAAGTTTGCTACAATTGGAGGTTTTAGCTCAAAAAGTAAAGGTTCATATGAAGTGACAGATGAAAGTGAGGTTAGGATTGAGGGTGCTGGTGGAGTTGCTCAGTCTTCAAAGAAGTCCAGAATGTCATCATCATCCAGCAGTGATAGTGGGTCAAAAGGCAGTTTTCGGTTTCCACAACTCGAAATAGCGGTGTCACCAAAGAAATAGTTTTCACGCTAGTATCTATACACAGTACATTCACACACACACTTTGTAAATGTAAATCTGTCTTTCATTTAAACAATAGTGCACTGCCATATTGACTGTTTCTTCAATTTCCCACATATGTTCTTTACAGGCATTGATATATATATATATATAATTTTTTTTCTCTGAATCACAATTTAACTGTAAATAAGAGAAATCTGTTATGTAATTTTAATTTTGTTTTGTAGATAGGAAATTCAAATCCAATCCAACAATGTGTGTAGTTAATATAAAAATCTGTCATCTGATAACTTGTTCTATTTTTGTACCTTAGAAAGTTTTGGAACTATGTTGTCCTTTCTAAAATTGTCTAGACACATTTAAATGCAAGAGGAGAGATTTTAGTTAGATTTGAAAGGTTTTTAAAACTTCAGCTTCACTTACATTAGTAGTGCTGTATCATATGTACTCATTGCATATGAATAACTAATTTGAGCAGTGATAAACCAGATCTCATGAGCACAATGAAGTTTAAGGGCTGTACAAACTGTAAATAATTTGATTCAAAACAGATACATGGGATAACGTAACTTTGTGTCCCAAATATTATGACAGTTCAGATATTATGGAATTTACACAGAGATTATAATCTTCTAAAGTATTTATATCTAAGACTGTCTTTTTCAATGATTGCTTGGATATCTTTAAAATGCACACCAAGAAGCAGCTGGCAAAAGCTTTGACTTGCTTTGATTTTAATGGTTTCGAAGGCATTTTTCTTGGTTCTATCTTCCACATTTCTTTACATCCGGTTGACTCTCTCTCTTCCTCTCACTAAATTTATGAAATGCCGTGTTGTCATGTGGTGATATAACTACAGGAATGCTAATGCCAATGGTAAAACATTAATATTTTGAAAAGGCATAAAATGTGCATTTGCCCTTGTAAATAATGGGACATTTAGGCTGCAAGTTTCTAATTTTTTCCCCCCCTTGTATCAGTTGCAAAAAAATGTTTAATAAAGTGAACAATTATCAATACTTGTGTGTTGAATGTGACTCATTTGCATTAAAGTACGAAAAATGTACATGAATGCACACATCCTCTGTATTGTAATGCAAAACCACACAGAACAGTTTTGTTGGAACATTAACTTGAATATTAATGTCACCATACTCCTTAAAACAAGGTTGCATTTTTTCAAATGTTTTGAAACTAACCGTTATGCTTTCAGCTTTCTATTAATACTTTGATAGGAGCCAACACCAAGAAAACAGGAAATGGCTTTCCTGTCCTGGTTCGCCAAACCAGTTCTAAGGAAGGAAATGATCAGGAAATTCCTTTGAGGGAGGAAAGTGTGGTTAGTTTTGTATGCAAATATTCGTTAGCAGAACTGGGGTGAGAAAAGAAAAGAGGCCATCCATTTTATGGTTAGCTTTAAATCTATGACAAGCAATTTATAAGCTGAGCGGAATACAGGCAAGCACCCATATTTTCCCTATTTCGTTTGAAAGGTAAGACATAAATGATTGTCTTTTACTATGCTACTGAGATTACAAGGAATTGAGTGGATTAGGGTGAATTTATTTTTTCTTTGAACATGTTTGATTCTGAGACAGTCTTGTGCTGTTTTATACGTACAGATTACAACATTTTTAATGTACGGATTTCCTTCTGATTCCTGGTCGCTCCAGGTTTGTCAAATTTTAAGAGGGGAAATATTATAGAATTTACTAGAAGTAAACTGGTTTCCAATTTGTATGCTTAGCATCACAGAATTTTTGCACAGATATACCTGTTCTACATCAAAGCCGTGAAAAGAGGCTGTTTTGACAGGAGGTAAAATTACATGTACTACACTTATAATAATAAAAGGATTAATAAAGGGGTCAAATCTGCATTAACACCGGAAAATAACCAGTGCATTAAGAGCCAGTGGGTTTGGAGTGTTGTTCCTTCATCAATGCTCCTTGTTGTAGAATTATGATTATTTATGTGTTATGCAGGTAGGAAGAATCTCTCTTTATCTGGTAGGGCAGATGTTTGTGAATAATACAGTGAGCAGCAGTCTAAGCTGACATCTCTTGTATCAAAGAGACTTAAACAGATGGTGTCCTTGACTCCTACAGGAATAAGAGGATAGACTGTGCTTTTATTTCAGTTCATACCGGTGTGTACTGGTTTTGCACCAAAATAATCAACTATATATGTCTTATGCCTCAAAATCCTTTTCAGAGTATATATATATATATATATATATATATATATATATATATGAACTTTGTATACTTAGGGCTCTTTAAGGGCAGTGAGGACAGAATGTAATAGCAAATATGTTGAAAGAAAAAAAAATATTAAATGCACGTTACAGACATAAAAAGCTGATATGATCTTTCTATAGTTTTGAAATTGTTTTACATATAAAGTATAAAACATGCTATTCAAAGCAATGCATCTTAGCTTGAAAATTAACATGGTTTGCTCTGTATGCCTTCATGTTTGGTACTGATCGTAAATCTTTGAGAACTCTTCACCCTCAATTTATTGATATGTTAAGCTATATAAATTGTTTGAGCTTATATGAATACTGATAGTAAGTTTTCAAGCAAAAAGAAAAAAAGATACATCCAAGCCTGTAATTAATCTTATCTGCCACAATGACAAGAAACTGGATTACAGATGTCTTGCCAATTTTTGTTTCTATTCAGAGCAACTAGCAATGGCTTCATTTGACAAATTTGTTGTAGCATTTTGAGCATTTCACAGATTCACTTGTAAATTCAGTACCGTTATACAAATAAATGCACATTTATATTAACATACTAGACATTTTTCAAGTCTTGTGGACAGTGGAACTGTGGAATAATTCCTCAGGATATAGGATACAGGGTGCAAAATATTTCACATTTGATTCAAATATTCTTAAAACAAAGTTCTGAAACAATAAGCAAATTTGCTATCTATATAAAAAACAACAAAAATATATAAATTGAATATATTGAAAATATAAAAAAATATATTGTAATGAAAGCTGATGTTGGGCAAAAAAAATTACATTTACTGCTTTGATGATTTGGTACATATCACCTTAAAACAAAACCTATGGCTCTCTTTTTATTTTAATTTTAATGTTTTGATTTGCAAATTTGTCAGAGGCTCAAAACCCCGCCACCACTCTAAGGAATAAAGCAAACGGAACTCCTCAAATAACAGATACAATATAAAAGATTATGGGATGGTATCCATATTTTCAGCATAGCAATAGAACAGCCAACTGAATGCAATGCACATGAATAAATCATTAACAGTATCAGCAGTATAAGGCCAGAAAATCTTGGGATACAAACAGACAATGAGCAATACGACATACATTGCAGCGCATCTAGATCTACCATTTCTAACAGTCTATAGGATAAACACAACCTCTCAGATGTAAAATAATAATAATAAGTTAGTGTGATCACATACCAACCTCAACAAATATTAGTATTGTGATAAATAATTGTTTTCCCATATATACAGTTTAAGGGGGATTTTTTTTCAGTTTGCGTTAAAAAATAATTGTTGAAAATAATTTGTTACCATCAACGAATATATTTCTTGCAAGTCGATATATTCAGAGATCAAAGAATGTTTTGGATATACCAATGAAAGATGTATGCATACCGCAATTTTACAGTACAGTTCACACAGTCACATACTGACAAACATTACTTGAGATGAAATACTAACTGGTGAAGTCAAAACAGTGAAACACTTTGTGTTTATCTGTCACTACGGCTTGAGACTGACAGGGAGAGAATATTTTTTCTGCATGGTTTCCTTCGCTGAGAGGCTGAGACCGTCTCCCTCGGGATCCCATCAGATGGGGGGACTGTGCGAGGAGACATGTCTATGTGCATGCGTGAAGAGCGAGAGAGAGCTAGAGCGAGGGAAAGAGCATGTGTGTGCACACAGAAAGGAAAGGGGCAGAGTGTGAGTGCAAGCGCAGATGATGCTGCTCGTGGAAGGAGATGGTGCTGGTTTTGGCTTTCCTTCCTGTGCTACAAGATTTTCCCCACTAAGGTTTGACCTCTGCGTCCTGTCAGTTTGGCACCTCAGCTTCCTGGGTAAGAGCTGTTCGTTATTTGCGACTGGAATCAGAGCAGGATGCTGTAAGCGTTCCTAATTTTCTGTGTTGTGTGTGTGTGTCGTATGTGCAGAGAGACACAGAACGACAAAGGGAAGGGAGGAGGGTGGTACAGGCAGAGGATATCATGTGTGCGCTATAACTAAAGACAAGGAGCAGACAGAGTTGGAGAAGAGGGGAAATAAGACACAAGGCAGAAGCTGCAGACACCGTCCCTTTATTGGCCAGAACCGGCAACAAAGACAAAAGAGGTAAAGCCTCTGAAGCCGAGACTCAGCCTCGTTATTCCTCGGATTCCATGTGCCACTGGTATCGCATCGAGGGCGAATAGGATGTCTGTGTCTGGAAAAAAGGAGTTTGACGTGAAGCAGATCCTCAGGCTCCGCTGGCGCTGGTTCAGCCACAGCACTCAGACCTCAGCTGGGAATGGAGGCTACATCCAACAGGAAGGTTTCGACCACCGGGGAACACCGGTCCGGCTGAAGAGTCACTCCCGGGACAGAGGAGGACTCCGCAAGAACAACAGCCCCGTGCACAGCATTCTGGCACCGAACCCTGGACCCACGCCTGTTTATGTCAGGCCAGGCGATCAATCATGGCACCAGCAAAACATCATCCAGCACCTCCAAGCCAGCGAGGAGCTTCCCAAGAGCAACTCACCTTGCAGTGCCAGGAAAGAGGAGGTGAAGAGCAGCCATGAGGATGTGAAGAGCAATCCGGAGGATCCCTGTGAGGAGGAAACCACAGACAGGTAAAAAAAAAAGAAGCTGAATGCAGAAATAGAACCGTATAACCAGATGTGTGAAGAGATGCCTGCTGCTGTCAGCTAACACATGCAGGGTGCAAGTGACTAAGTTCTGCCTGTAGGCATGAAAGACTTGCAGTTTTTAGATGAATATCCTATTTTAGCCCTTCGTGCGGTAATGAAAACAGACAGTACTGTGCTGAGAGATGAGCAAGGTGTTATTTTGGCACAGAGTGGATTTACGTTAAGCCCCAGGGAGCGTCAGGATTGAGTACAAGTACAGTATTTAACTGTCACTTTACTCTGGCTTATTACGCCAGTGAAATTCACTCAGAAATGACAGTTTGTTTTATTTTCATTGGCTGTGTTGCTAGTACTCAGGGCCGCCGCTTACACGTCGCTTCGGTCTTCGGAGAATTTCATTTTTCAATCAACTCCACCATTGCAGCTGCCACCGCTGCTCACCTGGGAATAGTTCATTCACATGGCACACGGGTTGTAGAAGCACAGCTCTGAAATACCCACAGATAAATTATTCATCAAGCAGACATCTCACAAAACACAGAGGAAAACACAGAGGCGTCTGGATATAGCCGGCAGTATAACACATTCTCTAAGCCGTGAGGTGGTTTTAGCAGCCTGCATTTTCATAACCTGAAGCAGGAATATTTCACGGCGTGTTAATGCATGCATCCTCTGACTTATAAATGCTACAGAGAGGATACCATTCCATCAGAGGCCATTGGCGCAAGGGCTATAAATTTGGGAAGGGCAACGGGATGAATTATCTTCAGTGGGGATGATATTTACACATCAGTGCAGTTCGAGAGAAAGAGAACATTTAATTTGCTTGCTCCGATCGATCGAAATTTATGAGATTATAAAGCCCTACTTCCACAGATGCTTTCAATTCACATCTTAAGTGCTGGCTGTTTAGGAGAGAAAGGTCTGTTTTTTTCCACTGAGTGGCTCTGTCTAGCATAATGTCAGCGTAAGGCAGGAAGTAAACATCTTCTCAGATAAGGAAGTGGCAAGACTGACCCACGCTAAAAGATGATGTCATGGGAGATAAAAGCAAAACCACACTTTTCTAAAAATAAAAAAAAATGCGCCCACACAAATAGTCCATCACCTGATTAACGTTTATAGTCTTTTATGCATATATAAGGCCCTATGCATATGCACGTTAAACTATAACTGTCCATCAGATATTGAATTTAAATAACCCTTAATTAAGAATAACATATTTGTAGTGTATCAAGTGATTCAAATATGTAATCAAATGAATTGCATGAAATGCTGATTAATCACATATATTAATATAGCTGAGAAAAGCATCCTAATGTTAATTTAAATGCTTTACATTATTGTTTTCCAATACCTTTTAAAATATTTTCACTTTGCATTTCCAGTATTTTTAGTTAACAATTTATGCATACATAGACTAACACTGTTATGTCCTGGTTTTTCCCCATTCATTTGCAGAATAGGGATTTTTTAACATGTAAACATATCCTGTGTGAATGGCTCTTTATTTATTCAGTCTTGCTTGTTCCGGAGCATTGCCTGTAGTTGCAACTGGGGCTAGACTGACCGCAGACTCGCAAATACGTGTGATGCATGGGTCAGAGGGCCTTAAAAACATTACATTGTACTATATTAACATAGTTAGCCATGGGTTTGTGGCTCCCAATGAATCTCTGCTATATCCTCTGCTATAGGCACATCTCCCATGGATATTTATGAGGCTATTAATATTTTAGAGCATGTGCGGTGTTGCTTTTTTGGCCTTTTATCTTTTAACAGTATGGTAATAGAATCAATTCAGGTCAAAGGCAATAAATAAATCAGGTAAATCTGGCAAGAATATTCCTTATTGAGCTATCTTCACGTCAGTCTTATCTGCATTGCTTATAAACGCAAGACATGAACTCTCAAACATCAAGTTTTGACCCTTTAAAAGCTTATGTTAATTGCTTTGCTGGTCTGAAAGCTTTCTTTGTGTTAATAGCCTTGTCCACTGATTGATATGGTCTTGTGAACTTAAGTACCATGACTTCATTCCTCATCTATGGAAAAAGCGCTATTTTCATACAGAGATGACATTAGCTGCAACATTAAAACAAATTGCAAATGTAGTCTTATACACTAGAAAATCATTCTTAACCCCTGAAAATTAACTGCTGTGTTTTCATGAGTGCCACAGTGAGGCTACCATGCATTGTGTTATGAATACTTAATCAGAAAATTAGATAGAAACAAAAGAGATTTGATCCCTAAAGACTCTCCCATCATGTGCTTTAAATTATCATACCTCAGAGCCTCTAGGTATACAATAATACATCTGCTGTTACATTTGTTTGTTATTCTGTGTTTTACTTCCCCGTCCTTTTATCGCTTTTCATTTAGAATGCGTAAATAAAGCATAAATATCCCTTACAGGCACAATGTAATGGAAATGAGGCCTTTAATGTGCCTCTAGACTAGGGATTTTGTTGTGCATCCCTGTGTGTGTGAGTTAATAGTGAGATCAAACCAAGTTCCTCAATGCACATTTTTACCCAAAGGGCAAAACATAACTATTCATTGGTTATGCATTTTATTGCCCTGTGTGACATTCATCAGCAAAGGAGAGCTAACTGAAGAGGAGGTGGTAATGCATTAGAGTGCAATTATAAAGCAGAAAAAGAGAATATGTATATAAAATGAGCTGGATATAAAATTTAGTACACATTTGGTCTTAGGAGTTGTTTTGAAAATGCAGAATCAGAATGCTTGTCCTCTTGCAGTTAATTATGCGTGAACTATATAAGACTTAACTTATCCATCTATCAACACAATCATTTAAATACAAAAATGTTCCATACTTATCGTTATCACATAGCGGCTTGCATTGTTTGCCGATCCCATTTCCCCCTCCGTTTCCTCTTCTCTCTACACCAGCACTGCTAATAAAAATGATGAAAAAGCTAAGAAAGACTTTGTATTGACATGCAATGTCTCACAACACAATGCACAATTATGTTAACTTTACATTTATTCAAATAAAACACATTACCAGGAAAAGTGCCAAACATGTCATGTTTAATAGCGTGTGCTGTATAAGCTATATTCATCTGATATAGTACTCATGGATTTCATTACCAGTGAAACGTCAAACCGGTGGAACCTCAAAATCCTGTGAGGCAGCCAAGGCAGTAATGAATAAAATATTTTAAGGAAGAAATTAATCTGGATTCAGCCTGGAAGCTGTATCACTGTGGGAATTGATGAAAACTGCTGAATACTATGTTTAGAATGTTTCTGTCGATCTTCTGTAATATTGAGGCTGCAGACCTGCTCATCATAAATAATTCAAGGGATTGATGAAATATCCATCTTTTTTAGGCTTATTTTTTCAAACAGAAAGCGAGATGAAGAGGCGTATGATATATGCTGAAATTAGAGAGGTCATGGTGATTTTGTAACGATGAACTGAACCAGTAAGATCATGTTAGTGGAGCCGGGTATGCTGACACTCCAAGCAAAAATCTGTTTTTTTTTCAATAAATTTAACATCAAAAACTGGAAATATTCACAAAAACTCTAACCTCCTGCTCTATTTCAACATGCACTCATACCAGTATTGTACTAAATCTAACATGCAGAATCTTTAGTTGGGCTATTAAACTAGGCCTATTCACTATAATACACACTCATTTCAAGTAAATTCATATTTATGTGAAACGTCTGTTTCTGATCTTTTCAAAAGGCAGAGCAGAGAGAGAGAGAGAGAGAGAGAGAGAGAGAGAGAGAGAGAGAGAGAGAGCAATGTTTGGTGTCCTACATATCCCTGCAGGCATAAAGGGCTTAGGGCCATGTCTGTGATCTGTGTTACCATTTCTTCAACTAGTCTGACAAGCTGACAGCATGCTGGCTCGCAAAGGGTCCAGTAAAGTTCATATCAAGCATTCTCATGAAAATATCACCTGGTCGACTTAACACGACTGGGTAGTGCCACAATGATAAAACAACAGCAATGAAATTAGCAGAGAATCATCTTTAGGCATTTTTTAAGTGGCCACAATGGCAGACATGATAACATGTTTGATGAAATGCTAATGACCAATCACTAAAGTTTTGAAAGGATTGTCTTGAATGCATTGTAATTATTTCATGAAATCTGGTGAAAGGTTGACAGAGTTCAAAAGGAGTATTGTCTAAGCTCACTGTAATTACTCACTGGAAGTAATTTTGCTGAAGAATTTTTGGAAATCCTTTGCAGTTCCCATAGCTGTATATAGAGAAGCCATAAACTAGTATCCTAAAGGATGTTATGCATAAATGTTGGAAGTATGTTGTGTTTTAGATAAGATATATTTCAATACATTTAGATTAAAACGTTTATAGCCCTTGATCATTGTTAATCTGTTAATTAATTAGTGCACATAATAATAATGATTTACTGGAGTATAGATGTCTTTCAAATAATCACATGCAGTTCTATATTTACCTGGATTGCATCCCATTTTAACATTTTTAAGCTCTCAAAAGCTGTCGTATCAGAAAAATGCATTCTGAAAAATATATTCAGTGCATTGCTAGCTGAGCAGTCCTTGTGAAAAAAGACCAACCCTTTCTTTTGATGGAACGCTGTCTATAAGAGGAACTTTGGCCCTGACCCTTTAATAAGGAAACAGCAGAGACTTGAGTCAGCAGCCGTTAGGTTGAATGATATCTCAATTTCCTCTCAATTGCCATGGAAAATAATGACACCATCTTGTCCTAGGATGTGTAGAGCTTCAGAGATTTATGGTGTCTTCATACAGCATTGACAGGTCAAGAGACATTGTCCAGGTAGAGGAATGGAAATGTAGTGTGAGAGGGGGAAAATACGCAAGAGGCGAGTTCAATGTTGAATGTGTTGTGCATGAAATGACTGCAGTTGGTTTAAAGTATTAAAATAACTGAAGTTTAAAGAGATGGAGCAAATAACTATTGAACACTATTTCTAACAAACATTGTAT